CGGGGGAGGGGCGCGGGCAAGTCTGGTCGGGCGGAGGGGCTCAGTGGAGAAGAGGTGGGTGAGGAGGGGAGAGCCGTGCAGCAGAGGGCAGCAGCGGGAGAGGTGCCCCAGATACCGACACTCTTTGCTTCTCAGATTTGAATTTCACCTTGCCTGGCTAGCAGGCTTCTCTGCCTCTGAGGAAGCAGCCCTTGGGGCCCAGAGCTGCCCAGGATGATCAGAGGACTTTTGTCCGTGTGTCCCTCCCCCCCCCAATGAACAGTTTCCATTGGCTGTAGCAGCAAAAGAGGCTGCTTTGGCTGCCTTGTCTCGCTGAAGGGCAGGGGTTTTCAAACGTCCTGAAGTCACTGGATCCTTTCGTGTTGCTGCTTCTGCTGCAGAACCCGCCACTCCTGTCCTTTCCTACCCCTGTCCTACAAAGGATGTGGCAAAGTTAGGATACAGAGGTGGGGCACAAAGGTGATAAAGGGTTTGGAAAGCAAGTCCCACGGAAGAGCTAGGCACTTGCAGCTTGAGGAAAAGATGGGATATGATAGCAATCTTCAAATACTTGAAAGGGTGCCATAAAGAAGAGGGGTGCCATTCTCTCTGGCTGCAGAGTTGAGGATGCAGATCAATGGCTGGAAGTTGCAGCAAAGTATGTTTAGTTTGGATATTTGGAAAAAAACTTCTTTACTGTTAAAAGAGCGAGGCAGAGGAGTAGACTGACTAGGGAAGTTGTGAACTCTGTCACTGAAGATGTTCAAAAAGAGGTTGGGCAGCCACTGATCAGGTATAGCTATGCTTATGTATTCTGTGGGTACATGTTTTCTGGCTTCTAGGTTACTCTTGCTCCACCCCTTTCTGCTACACGTGTCAGGGTGTTTTTAAGCCTCCTTCATTGGGTGTTGGCTACAGCCAAGGCTGGGGAATTTGACACCCATTGGTCCTGCTGGGACCAAAGCTGGATGATTCTGGCTAGAGGATCTTGCCCCTCTGCTCGAGTTCAGACCATTCTTTCCTGACACCCCCCCCTCCCCCCATATTTGGGATCAGGAAGGAATTGTACCCCATGGTTAGATTGGTATGGACTGTTGGCCCTCTACCCAGGGTCTCATAGAAGCAGGATATTCGTTCCTCTACTTTATACCTGTGGCAGGTTAGGGTGTTAGATCTGTGTTGTGTCAGGGTTTACGCAGTCTTATGTGGAGTTTAGATTATTGTTTGTATGGGATCATATGGATAGGGATGATCCTGCTTCAGGAAGGGGGTTGGACTAGATGGCCCTGGAGGGCCCTTCCAGCCTTGCTTCTCTGTGATTCTAAAAAGCTGATATGGAGCCTGGAAATCTGGCAGTGATGACGTGCTGCTTCTGCTATTGCCCCCAGTTTCTTTGGGGAAGCTCTGATGACGTGTTGTGGAACCCCAGGGTTCCAGGGAATGCAGTTTGAAAGGCACTGGCTTAGTGTAAAAACAGACGTTGCCAAACAACGAAGTGGATCAGCTGTGGCTGGCATGTCCCACCACAGCCGATCCACTTTATTTGATGAAACATACCACTCCTTGTTGTGCATCAGGCAAAGGCCTGATGAGAGACAAAAGGCAGCACATTCCTCTTGCCTGTAAATTTTCTGCACCTGCTTGCCAGGACCTATACTGACCTATGATTCCCACACAACCATGGGGTGGCATGGGACCTGGAGAAACCCAAGGGCCCTGTGCCTCCCTACTGATCCATGCCTCTGCATGAAGCATGGGTTGACACGGGTCCTAGCAAGGAAGCACAGGGCATCATGGGACCTAGGGAATTTGCTCAGCACAGTTCCTGGTGTGGAGGCATGGGGCACTGGGGATTCCCCAGGTCCCATGCTGCTGTGTGAGTCCCAACATGGAGGCACAGAGCTCCAGGAATTCCCTAGGTCCCTTGCTTCCACACCAGGACCTACACAGACTTTACCCACTTAAGGAAAAGTGCCCCATGAGATCTCAAGGCAGGTCTCCATAAGCAGGAAACCCCAACTTTCCCTGCTTAGAGAGATGCCCTAGGATTCCCTAGGATGTCTCCGTAAGCAAAGAAAGCTGGGCAGGTGCTTCCTGAGGGGGCTGATTTCTGTGTGGGAAATCCTGAGGTGTGCAAGATGGGGGCCTTTCAAGCCCATGGCATACCTGCCCAGGGTGGCTGGAGAGTTTGGGCATCTTCAGGCTTCCCGCACTCTCCCACCACAGGGCAAATAGATGTGCAGTTCAATAAAACAACTCTTTTATGCTACTTTTTGTTGTGGATACGCATGCGGTGCAACAAAAGGTATGGATTGTCTACTTTGTCACTGTTTGTGCTTCCATAAAAGATGTTTATAACAGCACACATGCCACATCAGGCGACATTCTATCCTTAGATACCAAGTATCTCTTAATAAAATTCCATGTTACGAGCAGGTACCAGTCTGCAGTGAATGAATCCTACCATGGAGTCCCACACAGTTCAAAGATGGTGTCAGGACCAAGCATTGTCTCCTTTCCAGTTTCCTTTATTTGAGCCCTTCCTTGAAATGAGATTCTGCTGTCCCATGGCCCCAGTTTCTGAAAGTGTATTTTCAGTCTCCTCAGCCCTTTCCTCCCCTTCCTCCTCCCCACCCTTGTCTATGGGTACTTTGGGCCAGATTCTGTTCCACCTCAGTTGTAACTAGTGATTTCTGCACCCTAGGTGGATATGCAGGAACATGATGTGTGGTGGGAGCAGTAAGGGGTGGGGGGGGGGCTGCGGGGCATCAGAGAATCTTACTTGGCCCCAGGGCTGCCAGCGTGGCATGGTCTTCCATCATGCAGGGGTGCAGACTTCCTGAATGGGGGCTGCTATTTTGGCACCCTCTCTAAATTGGTGCCTGCAGCTAGTGCCCCACTCACCCATTCCTAGTTACACTACTCTTAGGTGTCTAATTGAGCCCATATTCCATCCTGCTCAAGTCCCTAAAAATTGGTTAAGGTATCTGTTTTTAAAATGTGCTGTCAACTCGGCTTTAAAATTGTTGCAAAGAAAGGGATGACCCACCCACTCTTTGTGTTAATGTCTTCTTAGATTTGAGTAGGGTTGAATAGGATTACATTTAGGTGCCTAGGAGCTAAACCTTTGTCTTCCAGTGCAACTGTATTGGGAGCAATGTAGCATGGAAACAAGGAAGATAGGCTTAACAAATTAGTTTTTTAATAAGTAATTTTACGTGTAAGTTTTTTAATAAGTAATTTTACGTGTAAGAAAACGTGCCATTAATGGGCACGATTAATGCAAAAACAAATTAACGCGTTAATTTTTTTAACGCACGTCTAATTGCTGCTGCCGGGCCATGTGCGCTGGGGGAAAGTGGCCCCTCCTCCTCGCTGCTGCCAGGCTGCATACACCCATACACACACACGAGGCCAGCATGCAGCCAGGCAGGGTCGTGGGAGCAGACTCAGCAGCTGGATGCAGGTAAGTGTATGATGTATAGGGACTGCAGGGCCAGGTCTCGGGGATTGTCTAGGATATGTGTATGGAGGGGTGGGTTTCTGTCAGCATTGGGGGAAGCTATCCAGGTGCCAGGGCAATCCAGGTGCCAGCGGGGGAATGGGGCAGGGTGCCCTCTGAGGGCGACGGGGAGCTCTGTGGCTGGGCCGATGGCACAGGGGCTGGTGCCTGTGCTTGCAGATGCCGGGCAGCCCCAGGAGATGCTGCTGGGGGGAGCAGGGGGCTGTGAGTCAGGAGTGAGGGGCCAGTGCCAGGGGGTTGTAGGTCAGGAGTGAGGGTCGCTGCCAGTGCCAGGGGGCTGGGGGTTGGGAGTGAGGTGTGCCCCCAACAGGTGTCCTCTTTTTTGGAATTGGAAATATGTTAACCCTAGTTTTGACCCTTTTTACTGTACTGTACTTAATCACTAGGTGGAAATCATGACAGTTCTACTCTGTTCTTATGGCACTGAGTGAATAAATATCAGAAGGACGTAATGGAGCAAAGCAGCAAAAGTTTGGGTGTTTTGAACGGGAAATTTATTTATAGAAAACTTGTGGATGGTTCTCTGGATAAAAGGACGGTTATTTGTAGCTATTGCAAGGCTGAATTCCAATATCATCGAAGTACCACAAGTCTGAAGTACCACCTACGCGCTAAACATGCTTTCGCCACCGTTCCTCTTGCTACAGATAACCCAATGACAGCAATGAATCCTGTGAGCTGCGACAGAGTACGCTTACTGTGTTTCAGAATCGCTACAAGCCCACAGATCAAACAAAGTACAACAACTTAACCAATGCTATTGCAAAATGGATAGCTATGGACTGCAGACCACTCAACATTGTAAATGACAGAGGACTAATAGAGGTTATTCAAATTGCGTCTTCCAACCAGTCATACACCCTGCCCTCCCAAGGAACCATTGCATCACGAATACGTGACTTGTATCACAGAGAGAAGACTACTAAGTTAGAGCTGCTGAAAAATGCACAAGCTGTTGCTTTGACTGGTGATCACTGGACATCCTTGAGCAATCACAGCTATCTTGAAGTCACAGCACACCTGATTGATGCTGCGTGGAGACTGCAGTCATTTGCTTTAACAGCAATGTATACTGAAGAGAGACATTATGCTGAAGCATGTGCAGAGCGTTTCTTGGATGTTACAAAAGAATGGAATATTCAAGAAAAGGTAACAACAATTAGTACTGATCGTGCAAGCAATATGATAGCAGCAACCAGTCGTTTGCCTTTTGAACACATGACATGCATCGCTCACAGTCTTCAGCGATCCATCACAGTAGCGCTCCGTGCTGGTGGTTTTGAAAACATGCTGCTAAAATGTAGAAAAATTCTGGGCTGTTTCAAACACAGTCTAGCTAACAGTGCAGAGCTAAAAACACAACAACCTGCAAATGGACAGAAACAAGAAACTCTTGGACAAGATATTTCTGCCAGATGGGACTCTACATTGGGTATGGTTCAGCGCCTGCTTAGAAATAAAGCCACTATCACGACCATGTTAGCTCTTGAAAAGCACAATCTATCCGTGCTGACAGGTAGTGATTTTGGAAAACTGCAAAAGCTAGAAACACTACTTGAGCCCTGCAGATTTGTGACTGAGCTCCTTGGAGGAGAATTATATGTCTCCTGCTCTGTGATTTTACGCGCACTCTGCCATGTATGTCGTGTTATGGCAGTCTCTGATGACGACCCAGCATATGTTGCTCGATTTAAGAACACTTTCACTTCCGATTTAACAAAACGCAAAGAGGGTACCAATATGAGATTTCTAAAAATAGCTACAGTGCTTGACCCAAGGTTTAAGAATCTGAAGTGCCTTCCAAAATCTGAGAGGGATGAGGTGTGGAACATGCTGTCAGAAGTCTTAAAAGAGCAGCACTCAGACGCGGAACCTACAGAACCCGAACCACCGCAAAAGAAAATCAGCCTTTTGTTGGTGGCATCTGACTCGGATGATGAAAATGAAGGTGTGCCAGTCCGCACTGCTTTGGATCGTTACAAAGCAGAACCCATCATCCCCATGGAGGCATGTCCTCTGGAATGGTGGTCGAAGCATGAAGGGGCTTATGAAAGTTTAGCATATTTGGCACGTAAATACCTTGCAACACCAGCTACAGCAGTGCCATGCGAACGACTGTTCTCACTTTCAGGTGACATTGTAAATAAGAAGCGTGCAGCATTATCTCCTGAGAATGTAAACCAACTTGTCTGTCTAAGTGATTGGCTGAAATGCAGCAAGGTTCATTGAAAAATACTATTTCTTTTGTTTACCACTTTTACAGTGCAATTATTTGTAATAAAAAATGATAATATAAAGTGAGTACTCTACAGTTTGTATTCTGTGTTGTAATTGAAATCAATTTATTTGAAAATATAGAAAAAAATCCAAAATATTTATAATAAATTGGGATTCTATTAGTGTTTATCTGCATGTTTAAAATTGTGATTAATTTTGCAATTAATTGGAATTCATTTTTTTTAATCGATTGGTAGCCCTATTGTAAAGTAACAAATGTCCTAAAACGAACCAGTCGCCATAGACAGGTAGTTAGCCATGTTAGTTTGAATTTAGGGGGAAGGCAGGGTAGGGTAGCATTTATACATTAGCAACAGCCTTGAGTTAATCTCTCAATCTATAATTCAACTTCTAAGTAATTGGGGGGGGAAGGAGGCCCATGGCTGGAGGCATTACCATGGACCACACCACTGTGCACCATAGTCCCCTCCCAGGCTGCCATGTGGGTGCCTCTCCTCTATGCTGTGCAGGTGCCCCAAGTCAGAGGTTCCCCCTGCCCTGTGGGCTGTGTCATGCTGGCCACCCCTGGGGTAGGGGCAGGGGCAGGGGCAGGAATCAGAAGCCAGAGAAAGGATGGGGAGCTGAGATCTGGTTGCTGCTAGACCAGTGGGGAAGAAGGGCAGCTGGGTGAGAGTTTTGGGGCTGCAGATTAAGCCCTCACAGATAGTCCAATGGTGTCCAACTGGCAATCTTATTTAGAGAGGCATAAACATTTGCAGGCAATGACTTTTTTTTTTTAGATGCTTTTCTTTATGAGAGAGCTCTCTATCAACAGACAGTCATAATGACAGCAAACTCCATCTGTGGAGATGCAGTTTAAATCAGCAGAAGTACTTTTTGCTCAACTAATTGCATCTGTGGGTTTTGCAGGCCCTCCCTATATTTTACCTAGTAACTTAAAAAAAATGGTGTAAGATTTTTTTCCCCCCCACAGTTCAAGAACAAGGGATGGTTATTTATTTATTTGCTTTATATGCCACCCTTCCCAACAAAGGCTCAGGGTGGCTTACAGTAATTCCTCCATGAATAATTCAATCAAATTAACAAATTTAAAACTGAAAAGGAAACTTTTCACATAGTGCATATTTGATATGTGGAACTTATTATGGCTATTTACCACTAAGACATATAGCTTAGTAGAACTCATAAAAAGGTTGAACATTTATATGGATGTTAAACTAGCCAGAGTCTGGAAAGCTCAAGGGATATAAAATCCTATGTTTCAAATAAGCTTTAGTCGGGAAACTAGGAAAACATTTCCCTTAGGGCAAATTATTCCATATATTCCTATTGTAAGTTTTCTTGAACTGTACTCTGAAACATTTGCCATTTGTCACTGTTAAGACGCAAAAGAACACTAGTCTGATTTATTATCAGTTCTTCTACAATATTTTTATGACTTCAATTAATTTTAAATAAAGATTGTAGTGAACTAATCATTCCTCAAAATTTCTCATGTAGAGTTCCATTACACTGACTCTTGCCTATTAATGCAGAAATGGTATTTACTAAAGTTCCAAAACTGGAGGAGAAAGTTAGAACAGCAGATTAGATAAGGGAGAGGGAGCTAAGTGGCACTTGGGGGCATGAGTTTGATTTGCCATATGTCTGCCCAAAAGGTTGGTTCTCACTTCTTTAGATAGATTAATTACTTAATCTCATCAACAGATGGAGGGATGTTGTGCAGTTTGATGGCCATTTTTTCTTTTATACATATTTGAAGCACTATACCAGTGGCCTAATCCATAATTTAGTTCTCTCTATATAGTATATAGATATAGATATCTAGATCTAGATAGAGGACAAAACTTTTTTTTTTATATTTAGGCTTAACTTATATATATGTTTAATTAAAAATATATACACACACAAATATATCTATATATACATGTAAATACGTACATATATATGTTAAACCTAAGAACAGAAAAAAGGGGTTTTTTGCCTTTAGTGTACACATTCAAACTAATAGCATGCCAATATAGTTTGGGAAAATGCTGTTCTGTCACCCAAAACCTTTAGTTATAAATATAAACTTTACTTTAAAACAGTGCCTTACAACAGCATTTCTCAACCCATGGGTTGTGACCTAAAAGTGGGTCACAAGAATATATGAAGGGGTTGTGAACAAACTTTAAAAATGGGTTCTTCTTTAAAGGAGAAAAGTGTGGGAAACTGGGTTTTTCCTTTGCAGGCTGTCAGAGTTCTGGCCTGTGAGGGGCTGCTTGTGGACCCCATGCCCCACCCCACATGCTGTGGGGGCTAGGGGTGGGGGGCAGTGGGTTGGGAGTGAGGGGCACTAGGTCAGGACTGGCTATCAATGTTTGCAGGTGGGTCCTGGTACAAAAAAGGTTGAGAACCACTGCCTTACAAGATCCTTCAAATTAGGTTGAAATCTTGAAAAGGCCATTTTCCTTGTAACCAATGTCTACTGCAAGAACAAAAAAAGATGCATGGTTCTCATGTTACAACTTTGAAATGTCCACATATTATTCTCCAGCCTAAAGATATCTATTAAAAACAAATGAAGATGATCAGTGAAATATAGTTAGAATGGATCATCTATTTCCTGCAATAATTCTCTATGTACCTTGTATCACAATATGAGACCCAAGGAAATTAGTCACTTTTTTTTTTAAGTCAGTTTTCATATGTTACGCCTGTTTTAGTTTTTGTCATTTTTGTGGTCTGATTATCATAACTTTATTTTCTAAAAATTTTGAGCTTTCTTTTGCTAGGTGAGACTTGGACGAAAAGAAACCACTTAAGTTCAGTCTTGTCAACTACCAAAAATGCAGAAGAAAAATATTTTTTTCTACTTTTCAGTGTTAGGAATCCTAGGCATTACTTGTAGCAGGTATGCTTATTTCAGACAGAAAGATGTTTTTTTAATTGACAGTATTATTTTCTGAGAGGCAGAATTGTTTTTTGAGTAAAATAATTAATGAAGGAAGCAAATGGGTTAGTAGGTAAAGAGTTGACGGAGTCCAGCCTTGCAGATACTATTTCCAGTTTTACAACAGTTAATTTCCTTTTACAGTTTATTAGTATATTAAATGAAGATAAATCTTGCAATGATTTTGCAAAGATGGACTGTTTTAAAGTCCATTCTCATTCTTAGATTAAATGCGTCTTCCAGAGGCAAATGATACTTAAGTAAAGAAGTTTGTCACAAGAACCATGGCATCACAGCTAGCTGTTTGTTACACAAATCCTTTCCTTTTGCTTTATTTACAGCAGGGCTGTCCAGCTTCTCAGCAGCTGAGGCCTCATGTCACGTGGGCTCCCCCACAAAATGCCCTCTGGGTTCTCCCTGTCAGTGTGGGCCTCCCCTGGCCTCTCCCTGCCACAACTTGGACTCCACTAGATCCACAAGCTCTGGGCTCCTGAGGCCCTGTGGGCCATGCTGCACCATGCCTGGGGCAGTAACAGGAAGCAGAAGCTAGAGCAGGGAGGTGAAGGCTAGAGAGTCTTGCAGCAGCCAGAGCCATGGAGAAAGTGGTAGCCAGGCGGGAGTGAGTTGGACAGCCCTGATTTACACAGTCCTTCTGAAGATAAGTAGCTATGAAGACTACCTAGTAAACAGAAACTAGGATTGCTAACACTGAAAAAGTAGAGAAAAATATTTTTCTTCATCTTTTGTATAGTTGACAAGACTTTGCACTTAAGTGGTTTCTTTTTGTCTAAGTCTCACCTAGCAAAAGAAAGCTCACTTGCTGTGCTGTTGTACAGTGACTTGCAGAATTTAGCGAGATTTTGTATTTGGACCTCTCGGTATAGGAAGTTACAGTCATGCAAATGTTACATATTTCGCCACAGTAAAATCATTTATCAAATTTACATATTTGATGTTATATGGGAGGAACAGCCTGGGTCAAATGTCTGGGCTGGCCTTGACTGTCTGGGGTTAATTTTTATTTTAGAAACAGAAGAAAATTGTGTCAAGCTAGTTTAGAATGAAGATGTTGAAAGTAAAATTCATACCATATGTAATAATAGTTTTCTTGACTATTTTTTCAGGAACACAGAAGCTTGCTCTTGAAGATGTGTAGTACGGTGCAAGCTGTAACTGACCACAGAAAAATGGACATGTTGCAGATACTGCGTAAAACCTCAGAGCGTTTAGAGTGTGATCATTGCAGTTTTAAAGGGACAGACTATGAAAACATACAAATTCATATGGGTACCATCCACCCTGAGTATTGTGATGAAATGGATGCTGCTGGTTTAGGCAAACTTATATTTTATCAAAAAAGTGCAAAACTGTTCCATTGCCACAAGTGTTTTTTCACCAGCAAGATGTATTGCAATGTTTATTATCACATCACAGCACAACATGCAGTGCCTGAGAAGTGGAACGAAGAACAGAAAGATCAGGTAGAAGCAGAGTCAGAATCCCCGAAAACAACTGTCACACTGGAGCCACAGAAATCTGCTGTCTCCTCTGAACCACACAAGCCTGACCTTTCTCCTGGACCTCCAAAGTCTGAACCTGTTGTTCCCCCCAAGCTTCAGAAAACATCTACGTCCCCAGAGCCTCCAAAGCCTGCCCCAGCAGCTTCCCCAGAGCCTCCAAAGCCTGCCCCAGCAGCTTCCCCAGAGCCTCCGAAGCCTGCTCCAGCAGCTTCCCCAGAGCCTCTGAAGCCTGCCCCAGCTGTGTCTCCAGAGCCAAAGAAACCTGCTCCAGCTGCATCTCCAGAGCCAAAGAAGCCTGTCCCCTCCTTGTCCCCTGAACTGAAGAAACCTGCTCCCTCTGTGTCCCCAGAACTGAAGAAACCTGCCCCAACTGGATCCCCTGAGCCACCGAAGCCTTCCCCAGCTGGGTCCCCAGAGCCACAGAAGTCTGCTGTGACTGTGTCCCCGGAGCCGCGCAGGCATTCTCCGGCCGTGTCCCCGGAGCCGCGCAGGCATTCTCCGGCCGTGTCTCCGGAGCCGCGCAGGCATTCTCCGGCCGTGTCCCCGGAGCCACGAAGGCATTCTCCGGCCGTGTCCCCGGAGCCGCGAAGGCATGCCCCAGCAGCCAAAGAAACCTGCCCCAGCTGTGTCCCCTGAACCACGAAGGTATGCCCCAGCTGTGTCCCCTGAGCCAAGGAGACATGTTACTCAGATGCGAAGGCCAGCTCCTACTGCTTCCCCTGAGCCACGGAGGCCTGCTTCCTCAGGTTCTCCAGAGCCATGGGGACCTGCTCCCACAGTTTCTCCTGAGCCTTGGAGATCTACCCCAGTTATTCCACATGAGCTGCAGAAATCTTCCCCCAGTGTTTCACCTTGGGCCTCAAAATCTGCCCTGGCTCCACCCATAGAACCCCGCAGGTCTGGCCCAGAGCCCCGAAGGCCAGGCCCTGTTGTGTCGCCAGAGCCCCGACGGCCAGGCCCTGTTGTGTCCCCAGAACCTCGGAGGCTTGTTCCTGACCCTTGGAAATCTACATCCTTCTCGGAGTCTCAGAAATCTCTTGTATCTTCTGAGCCATGGAAACCCATCTCATCTGTTTACCCAGAAGGTTGGAAACCTGTTCTTTCCCCTGATACATGGAAGCCTTCTCCCCCTGTTTCACCTGAGCTCCGAAAGCCTAGTCACGCTGTTTCCTCTGAAGTTTGGAAACCTTCCTTCTTTTCTGAGATCCGCAAACCTGGTCCCTCTGTTTCTCCTGAGCCTTGGAAACATACCGAGTCCCGGAAGTCTACTTTCTTCCCTGAGACTCAGAAGTCTGCTCCTGCTGTTTCCCCTGAGGTACAGAAACGGGCCCACTTCCCTGAACCTCGTAAACGAGCTCTCTTTCCCGAGTCTCGAAAATCTGTTCCTGCTGTTTCGTCTGAGGTGCAGAAACGTTCTTTCTTCACTGAACCTCAGACACAGGTGTCTGCTGGTTCCTCTGAAATACAGAAACATGCTGTCTTTGCTGAGGCCCAGAAACCTGCTCCTGTTTCTCCTGAAATCCAGAAGTCTGCCTTTTTCCCAGAGCCTCAGAAACTTTCTGCTGTTTCCTCTGAAGCCCAAGAACATACCTGTTTCCCAGAGCCTCAGAAATCTGCTCCTGTTGCTTCTCCAGAGAGCCAGAAACATGCCCTCTTCGTGGAGTGCCAGAAACCTGTGTCTACTCTTTCGTCTGAGACCCAGAAGCAAGCTCTTTTTGCTGATTCTCAGAAATCTGCTCCTGCTGTTTCCCCTGAGACCCAGAAGCATGCCCTTTCCACTGAACCCCATAAACCTGCTCCTGTTGTTTCCTCTGAGGTACAGAAGCCTCCTCTGTCTATCGAACCCCTCAAACCTACCCCTGCTGTTTCCTCTGAGGTCCAGAAAAATGCTGTCTTCCCTGATCTCCATAAACCTGCTCCATCTGTTCCCTCTGAGCCTCAATCACCTAGTGAGTCTGGTGAAAGTGACTTCTTATCTCAGAATTTAGAAGATCAAAAACCACTGGATGATCTGGTGCCTCAAGAAGAGCAGCCAGTCTTAAATAAGGAGCCTCCAGAAGATGCATTGTATTCATGTCCAAAGAAGAAGCTCAAGAAGGAGAATCAGGAGAACTCTGATTCTGAACTAAATAGTAGTGAATGTGCAAAAACAGAGATGGAGATGGATTCAGCGGAGGTAAAGGAACAAGAATCCAACAGTGATCAAGAACAATTTGATGCAGAATCATCTGAATACAGCAAAGAGAGCAAAACAGAACCAGCTACTCCCATTCAGCCACAGTGTGTACTGCAGTTTACAGAAGAGAAGGAAGCTTTCATTTCAGAGGAAGAAATAGCAAAATATATGAAGCGTGGAAAGGGAAAGTATTATTGCAAAATTTGTTGCTGTCGTGCAATGAAAAAAGGTGCTGTTTTGCATCATTTAGTGAACAAGCATAATGTTCAAAGTCCATATAAATGTAAAATATGTGGGAAAGCTTTTCTTTTGGAGTCTCTCCTTAAAAACCATGTTGCTGCTCATGGTCAGAGTTTGCTTAAATGTCCACGTTGTAATTTTGAATCGAGTTTTCCCCGAGGTTTTAAGAAACATTTAACCCATTGCCAAAGCCGTCATAGTGAAGAGGCAAATAAAAAACATTTGGACAGCCTTGAACCAGTTGAGGAGCAAATTTGATGTGTTTTTTTCTTGTACCAGAGAGGTTTAATTTACTGAAATATTAAAAATGTTGCTCTGTGTTAGTCAGCTAAGTAGTTTAGCTGTTTTGACTAGTCATGCATGGTTTATTGTATTACGTTTAACTTGTCTTATACCTGTATTACTGAAAGGATTTACTTTTCAAATGTTTTTAAAATAAATATCCATGTCTGTGTATTAATCACTGGTAAATTCGTACTTTGTTATCTAGAAGTGCTACATTTCTGAAACCAAAACAGATGAAACTTAGTTTTGTAATTGTTAAGAACATGGAGGCAGTAGAGTCAAGGTGTGGCAAGCAGCCCATATGTTACTGTGAAAACTGGACAAAATTTTTCACATCTGTTAGATGTCTTATTTTTCAAAATGTGGAGCATGCTTTCAGAGTTTTGAAGCCTCACCAAATTGAATGTGAATGAGTAAGGCATGAGAGACTGACATTGTTTTTTTGAGAAATTATGCTCTGACCTTGTAATTGAGTATATAGCCATTTGTTGGAAATTTACTGTACTCACCTCTGGATTACATGTCTAAGATCTGAAAATGTCAAGGTACTTTTTTGTGTTGATGTATTTTGATCATGTTTTTAAGCATGTACTAATAGACTTTATATTGACGGAGTGTAATATCAGATTGGCTGTATATATAACGAGAATTCTTGAGTTGACTCTGATGTTATACCAGAAAAAACTGATTTTCTTGTATCTGGTGAAATGTTACACTTAATACTTTTAACAATAAAAGGGAAACCTTGACATTGGATATTTTTCTTGTCTGCTCTTTCAAATTTAAAGCAAGGCCTTTAGTATTTCATTACATTGTAATCTTCTAAATACATTTGACTAACAGCATATAATGTGGAATTACATAGTATTTTTTACAAGATCTGTAGGTATTGCAGCTGTTTTCATCAGCATGTAGAAGTAAAACTAGTCTACACCACCTCTCTAGACTTTGGAAAAAATATTAAGTGTTAAAAGGAGAAAATGCAGTATAGCATGGAAGGGGAAATAGAGGCATACGCTGTTGTTTTGCAGGGGAGGTTGTCTCTCTTTGTGTTAATTTTAGATATTTGTCTGATAGCACAGGTGGTAAATTTTGGCCTTTATCTGTCTCTCCTAAACTGAAATAACTATTTGCAACTGATTACATGCATTTTCATCACACTTGTTAGCATGTTACAAACAATGAAAACATAATTGACTGTTGAAAATAATCCTGCATTGGTAAGGAGATGGAATAAGTAATCTGCCAGGTCATTTGAGTATCTGTATTCTATTTGTAGTTCTCCCATAATCGTTTGAGGATTTTAAGATCATCTGCAGGCTTATACAAATATAAATTCCATTATAGGCAAAGAAAAGACGTTCTTGTGTTCACTATTTCACTCATTTTCTGAGTACCCTATTAATATTTTATTAGTTGGTCCATTTGTGTTACTATTGTCAAAATATATAGACAAAAAATATTGTTAGAATTGTTAACAACTTAAAAATGAAGTTAAGTTCCTAGAAGTTTCTTTAGATGTATTGTTGACGTGTGTTTAGACTTGTGCATGTTGCCTCTGAGATTTGATTGGATACTTGTTGCCCTAGCAGCATGTGTAGCGTGTGTTCTAGCACCAAGAGTATAAAGGGTGGCACATGCTTCTTGTTCCTCATTTCCCTCAGCTGCAGGGTCCCATACTGTATGAAATAGGAGAAGAGGAAAATGAGGATGGGTTGTCAATGTTCATGTGGACAATACACTTAGAAAACTCCAGTTACAGGTAAATAATTCCTGCTCCTTCAAGTAATTGTCCACATATATATTCATCCTCTGGGCAACTCCAAGGTGGATAACTCCTTCCTGAGTCAAGAGATCTGAGATCAGCAATATCTTGAGTCAACAGAATGGTGATATATACCTCAAGGTGAATCTTGAGTCTCTCAGATCAGTGGTGCTCAACCTTTTGGCTCTGTGGGACAGATGAGTGATGCAGGGCTAGGCCCACTTGCCTAGATCAGGCCCTGTGTAGCCTTGGCTGGGCCCCCTCAGCCTATGTGCCAGGACTGGGCCTTGCATGTGGGGAGGAGGGCAAGGCCTTGGCCTCGGTCCCCCCCCACCAGGATTGGGGCTTCAGGGTTCCACATCAACCCTGTGTACCAGGATCAGGGCCCCACACTACCCCTGCCTCATCCCACATGCTGGGATCAGGCTCTGGGGCCTTGCATTGCTCCACATGCTGGGGTCAGGCCCTCCATTACCAATCTACAAGTCTGCAGAGCTCCCCACAAACCCACTGGCTGGATGATACGTGTCAGTGGTCAGATGTGGTGGGGGAGGGGGAGGTTGAGCACTTTGTCCTAGATGATCAGTAATTGAAGGACTGTCCTGTTAGATATAGCATCTATCCCAGAGACTTGTGTAATCAAGTATCAATTTGATACCCCCACAACATTCTTGCAAGCAAGCTAAGGAAGTATGGGGTGGATATATGAACTGTAAGGTGTATAGAAAACTGGCTGGAGTGTCAGGCTCAAAACAGTCAATGGCTGGATGCCTAGCTGGCAGCCAGTATTGAGTGGAATGCCCCAAGAGTTGGTCCTGGGCCTGGTTTTGTTCAGTATCTCCATCAGTGACCTGGAAGATGGGATGGTTTGCACCCTCAGCAAGTTTGCAGATAACACCAAGCTGGGGGGAGTAGTAGATATGCTGGAGGGTAGGGCTAGGATTTAGAGAGAGCTAGACAAATTGGGGGATTGGACCAAAAGATATCTCATGAAGTTCAATAAGGACAATTGCAAAGTCCTGCACTTAGAACAGAACAATCCCATGCTCCAGTATAGCCTGGGAACTGACTGGCTGAACAGCAGCCCTGCAGAATATGAATATATATAGCTGAATATGAGCCAGCAGTGTGCCCTTGTTGCAAAGAAGGCCAACAGCATACTGGCCTGCATCAGTAGGAGTGTTGCCAGCAGGTCAAGGGAAGTGATTCTTCCCTTCTATTCAGCACTGGTGAGGCCACATCTGGAGTACTGTGTTCAGTTTTGGGCCCCCACTACAGAAAATATGTGTACAAATGGGATTTAATAGCAGCCTTCAACTTCCTGAAGTGGGGTTCAAAAGAGGATGGAGCTAGACTGTTCTCAGCGGTAGCAGATGACAGAACAAGGAACAACAGTCTCAATTTTCAGCAAGGGAAGTTTAGGTTGGATATTACAAAAAACTGTTTCGACTTTAGTTTCAGGCTTTCGACAGAACAGCATTTCGTTTAAAATTTCATTTTGATTCCAAACTGCTGTTCCATTTCGCTTCGTTGAAACAGTGAGGCTGTTTCACTATAATGTTTCGCTATAATGGGGAAGCTCGAAACAGCCTCTCTCATCTTGCAGGCAGATGGGGGGCTGCAACCCTGGGGGGGGGGGGAGGGCGCGGCGGGCGCCGGGGGGGGGGGGGGGGGCTGTAGGCCCCTGATCTGCCTGCCAGATGAGGGAGGGATGCCAGCTGTTGCCGCCTGGGACTGGGGATCTAGGGAAGGGACCTGAGCCTGATTGCTCAGTTCCCATCCCTAGCGCTAGATTGGACTGGAGAAGAACTCAGCCCATCCCGAGCTCAATCTAGCACTGGGGATGGGAACTCTTCCCCAGCCTTACTGTAGGGCTAGGGAGGGGAACTAAGGGATTGGGCTCAGTTCCCTTCTCCTGCGGTGTGATTGGCTTCCTGCAGTCCAGCCATGGGAGGTGGGGAAAGCCAGGGCTGCCCGGTTCTCTCCTGTCTCCCACCACCTGGCTGCTGGCTGCTTCAAAACTCGAAACGTTTCAACGCTTACAAAACGTTTCGACTAGCCTCGTTTTGTTTCAAGGCTGTTTCGAAGTCCTTCGTTTTGATTTGATTTTGTTGTTTCAAGCTCAAAGTGAGTCAAAATGGTGTCAAATCGAAACAGTCGGCAAAATTTCTCACAGCCCTAATATATGGATCTCTTTGGATCTGCTTTGCAGTTGTCGCTTATTAGAGACATTGTGCAAGGAATTAGCCTAGGCTCTATTGAATTGGGCCTGAATCATATTGCACAGCTCCATCTTGGAGGTCTCATATAGCATTATTTCCTGCACCCTAATAACCTGTTGGACAGTCTGTGGGTTCATGTTGTGGAAGCTCTAAATCTCTTGGCTATGTAAATGAACAGCCATGGAGGCTTTGGAAAGATCTTGATTCTGTTTAGATAGTTGTTGTTGAGTATATAGAGAGCTGAGCTCAAGAGGAATGTGGCTTAAAGAATACTGATAAATTAATGGCTCTGATGGAATTCAGACTAACTACCATGTGCAAAAGCTTTGGGTGGATCTCAAGGTCACAACAGCTGCATAAAAGTATGGGGAGGGGACCTGGAAGACATGAGGATTTGGGGCTCACTCACACTTCTTGCCAAGGTAACTCTCACCAAGAAGGTTATTTTCATGGACAGGTGGAGGAACAAGCAAGTTGCTATTAGTTTGAACAGCTGCCTCATCAAGAATTTGAGGACTGGGTTTAGATCCTACCCTGGGATGGGGTCCTTTTATCAGGAAACATGTTGACCAAGCCCCCAAGAAATATGAAGGCAGCTAGGTGAGAAAATATAGGTCTACCCCTCTACTGGTGGGTAATGAATTGAGATTAGCTGTATAGTGAACCTATTTTAAACTAATAGGCTCCAGTAAATACTCCAATATATCAGGAATGGAAGACTGGTTGGAGTTCTTTAACTGACAACAATTATCTATGCCTGGTAGTGTCCTTGTTTTATATGAAAATAGCTCTACTTTGAGCTGGACATTCTTACTCTATTTGTGAAAGCCATATCATCCAGCCTGTGAGGCGAAGGCAATGTAAATCCAGGTGGATAACTCTCCTTCCTGAGTCAACAGATCTGAGATCTGAGGCCTTGAGGACCCTTTCTTGCAGCAGCAGCAGGAGGTCTTAGTGCCAACATTTTCCTAGCCATGTGCAGACCAGTAGAATCAGTAATAGTCCGAGAAAAACTAATGCTGGTGTTTTCACTGAAAGCAGAGAATATATTCTGAAGGAAATAAAGTTGCCTCTCAGGGAATGTAAGTCTTGATCTACATTATAATGAAATAGTTTGGACCTCTCAAATGGGGAGTCTTCCATTGTTTGGAATTCTTTACGGAGTCAGTATCCCCAAAACCATGAACTCCATGTGGCCACTGTTGCCGTCACAGAATAGGAGGTTGTGTCTGTAGCATCTAATTATTGCCCATCTGATACCAGGGAGAGGAGGGGAATAACAAGCTCCCCAAAGAGGTCATAGTGCTGTGAATCATTCAAAACTGTAAAATCATAGTGCAGGAAAAAGTGGTAGTTTGCAAGTCTGAACTGCAAATTTCATAGATTCATAGATGTTAGGAGCTGGAAGGGACCTTACACGATCATCGGGGCCAGGCCCCCTGCACTTGGGCAGAAAAGACTGCTGGGATCAGATGACCCCAGTAAGGTGGGCATCAAGATGCTTTTTGAAGATCGCCAGGGTGGGTGACTGTACCACCTCTGGGGGGAGTCTGTTTCAGACCCTCGGCACTCAACTTGTAAAATAGTTTTTCCTTATGTCCAATCTAAAGCAATCTTCAATCAGTTTGTGCCCATAGTTTCTTGTCTTCCCCTGGGGTGCCCTGGTGAATAGATGCTCCCCCAGGCCCTGACGTATGCCGTAATATACTTATAGGCTGGCACCAAGTCCCCTCTAAGTCTTTTCTTCTCCAGGCTGAACAGTCCCAT